TCCACACTTGTAGCACACGATCCCCGGTGCGTCTTTGGTAGAGCCTTTGTGCTCCATCTTCCCTTTACGTCGTCTCGGCAGACGCCTTCCACCTCGGCTGGTCGCGAGAGCACCGGCCGCCTCAACTACTGCAGACTGTGCCCTGACGTCATTCTCTTCCAGAATTTTGGCCTTGAAGTCCTTGGCTGTGGGGAGCTCATTGCGTGACTCGATCGCGCATCTAAAATTCTCATAGCTTGGTGAAAGACTATACAATAACATAATGGACAATAAGTCACCATTAATTTGCACATCCATAACCGAGAGTTTGTCGACTGCGTTAAAGAATTTGTTCATATAATCTCTTACGTCTCCACCGTCCACCAAGCGCTGCAAATAAGCTGCTTGAGTAGAGTTGCCTTCCTGGCTGACCCTCTCGACGCATAGATTGATTCGAGTTTGAGCAAGACCTCTCTCGAAGACGTCAAATGTCGAATCTGTGGAAGCTCTGACGGATGGATAACCAAAACCAATTCCGATCGTGCCTTTCGGTAGTTTTATTTTATTTTATCCGGATTCATCATAGTCATTGTTCCTCACGGCAAAAGATCATTTTATCACAAGCACGTGGTAACGCAAAAAGTATTAATATCGAGAAGCACGCGATAACGCAAATTATATCAAAACGTAAGAGTTAGTAACGCGATATCGAACAGCACGCGGTAACGCAAGCACACACTACTTGGTTCTTATTACAAGAGGGCGGTAACGCGATTCTATCACAGCACGTGGTAGCACAACCTCAAAGTTCGATTGCGAGATCAATCGCATCTCGCACGTCCTGGGCCCATAACCTGATAAAGATACATTGAAATCGAGATAAGAGATCAATTGCGGTAGAACAGAGACAGATCACTAAGAGTTAATTTCACTGCGGACATATACCTATATTTATTGTATATGCGCACGTTACAAAAACGCGTGGATCGCCGGTCGTGATCACACGGATAGTGTAGGAAAAATGAAAGTCGCGATAAGCGCAACGGTCGCCTTTTCGTCGATATATATTCATCGCGAGATATCGATCAAAATCCCGATAACCATCATGACCGACACGACGCCGAATGGCGCCACTTGGACTGAATGGGCGCATGCCCGCGAGAACTTAACTTTCCAACATATTTACATATTTTTTCCAACCTTAATAAACTACGCGTCCAACGAGAGATATACCTCCGTCCTCCGTTTACGCAAAGGCGGGCAAAATGGGGAGAGCGTGGCGCGCTACTCAGTAGTCTCAGTACCGTCTGACGTCTGACTTCTGAGTACCGTAAATACGGCAAGCTTTGACCCAGCGGTCATAATATTTTAAGAATAAAGAACAGTCGGTATGACAGAGCCTGCGCCTGGTATCACGCGTTGCCAACAGGGAAACTCCTATTATTCTTTCTAGTAGTTTGCAGCCAGCAGCGTCCTCACGCCCTTACGAAGTGATAGTCACGAGAACTAACAGTAAGTTAAATAAGTATAGCGCGCCAAGTTCTCTCCACTTTGCCCGCCTATGCACAGACGGAGGTATATTCTCTCGTTAGACGGAGGACGAAATATAATATTATTTTTCTAAAAATTGTTCAATTTAGGTTCAATTTAGTTTTTGTCCGAGGTAGATATAAATATAGCAGCAACTTGTGTAACAAAGAGGTTAATGCATATTTATAAACAATGTAAACATTTAGTGATATTTTTGATTTGGCAGATTTATATGAAATATTTTTATATCTTAACTATGCATAATCTGATCACATAGGGAAAATTTCCAGATGGCTTTAAAAAAACCTAGTAGTGCTGAATGTAGAAAAAAGAAAAGATTGAGAGATGAAGTAAATCAAACTTGTGCAATTTCGTTGCATAATTGGTTAGAAAAATATGGTACTTCAAGTGATGCAGCAACTAATGTTGCATCACTCGACAAAAACTACAGATTTAGAAGAAGTGGATGAAGTCTCAAAAATCACTACCTGCAATTTAATTGAAACTGAGTCAATACAAGTACTTAAGAACAAGAAAAAAGAGGAAGAGGCTCAGACTATCAATTTGATAATCCACTATCTTGACCATTAATTTCAGATAAGATAAGATTTTTTTTTAGTAAAACATGGACCGGATCAGGGAAAAAATGCCGACTTTAGAGAATCTGCTTTAGAAGATGACAAAAAATTTTTTAAAAAATGGTTTTTAAAAAAATGTTTTAACGGAGAAGTAATAAATCGTAACTGGCTTATATATTCAAAAACATCGTTACCACTCTTCTGTCTTCCGTGTATTCTCTTTAGTAAAACTAAAACAGAATCAACGATTTGTAATCCACGAAAGGGATTATAAAAATTGGAAGAATCTAAATCGAATTTATGATCACGAAAATTCTATGGTCCATCGTGATGCTTATCTTCAATGGAAATGTTTAGAGAAGAGAATTAAGGGTGGCAGTTTTATAAACGCCCGGGAAAAAACAATTATATATAACTATATATAAACATATATAATTATGTATAATTATATATAAATATGTATTCTTTTATCTAATTTAATATAATTATATCTAGATTCTTATATAAAATTATATAAAATTTTATATAATTATATATAAGTATATATATTTATATATATTTATATATAAGCATGTATAATTTTGTATAAATCAGAAAATTTTAAGATATATATTTATATATAATAGTATATAAATATATATTAAAATATATAATTATATAAAATATATATTTTTCTATATAATTGTTAGATCCTTAAATGATTAAGACCGAGTAAGTAACAATAAGTATATTTCAATGCGGAGTACAGTCGGAAGCGTGTGCACGTAACGAACAGAGAGCTACGTCGGCGGGAAGACAAGATGTCCGTGGCCGTGTCGATGCGCGGCGCCTTACGCCGGGCGCGCTCTTTTGGCTCGACCGGAGTATGCTGCCTTACGTGGCAGTGGGCCGTACTTGTATATGTAACAATAATTATATAAAATTATATCTGATTCCTCACGTAAAATTATATATAATTTTATATAATTATATATATTAATATATTTTTATAGAAATGAATTAGAATTTTTCTAAATAAGTAAATCCTAAAATATATAAATTTATATAATTATATATAATTATATATAATTTTATTTGTCAAAGATATAGAAATTGTCGTTAGGTTGATAAGTGAGTAATACAGTTTCTCTTAAAGATCAGATATTTAATGTGGAATACAAGACGTGTGAAAAGATGTTACGTGACGCTAGTGTAAAGGCGGACTGACATATATATAGAGAGAGGAGAAAGAAGACTATCAAAGCGTTCACAAACGCCCGTTTTCATCGCCCATGCACATGAAGACTCCCTTTCGGCTCCTTCTCAACACTCCCACTGAGACCTCGGGTGCATTGTCAAAAGTTCTTTTAATTTATTGAATCGAGGCCTCAGCCCAGCAAACACGAGTATATTACTGTTATATTATCTTGATATAACGAAATGTAACACGCAATATAACACGATTGTATCGGGTTATGTACACGTTAGTGGTAATTTCCCACTCGTGTGTATTGCAGTTATATAATATAAATATATAACATTTATATAGCTGTTTGATATCGTGGAGTCGCAATAGGGATCAGGACGGTGGCGGTGAGTCAGCGAGACAAGATTTGGTAACAAAAACAATATACTCTGTCTAAATTATGTACATTGTGTTTGCGTTGTCTTAGGCGGCGCCTTGTAGGCGCCTAATCAAAAAATATAAGTGCTAATGCACGGTTTAAAAGTTAATTTGGCGGATGGCTTTCTTTGCAAGGGGCTCAGAGGGGACCGAGTTGTTATTGAGGTCGATTTTAGAGCCCGGGGTGCGAGGTGGCTTGTCCGTCGGTTGATCCGGTGGGTCCACTGGCGATGAAGGAGCCAGGAAAGCTCTCCTGAGCACCGTCTGGCACGCTGTGGTTCGCGTCTCCTTGACGCGGATCAGGTAGAGGACCGATGGCCGAGAGATGCGGCAATCCCGTTTCGGGAGTGTCAGTCCGGCTGGCCTGGTGCGGCGCACTTCCGGGAGCTCCAGTGGAATGAGCCTCCACGGACGTATCGCCTGTCCCTTGTCCAGCTCCCGTCTCGTTGCCTGCCGCTCCTGCGGCACTGGCTGGTTGGCCAGACGAGATTGCACAAGGGCCGGTGGCTCTTGGTGCCGTTCCTGCGACACCGGTTTAGCGGGCTCCGCCTCCTTCGTGTGCCGCTCCTGAGGTACCGGCGGGTAGGAGAGGCGCTTCCGTCGTCTCTGGCTCCGCGTCCTGGTTCGGCACCTCTTCCTTCTGGTCGTAGTCGGAGTGAGGCCACTCCGCGCCTCCGCTTCCACTGTGCCGGGCCCGGAAGGGGCGTCGTGCTTGGAGGGGGCCACGGTCTCCACGATGGCTCCACAGGAGTGCAATGAGCGGAGGAGAAGTCGCTCGATAATTTCTGCGCGGAGGAGATGGAATCTCACTCGACGCGACAAAAGATATAATTTCGAGTCTCTCAACGCTTCCTTAAGGCGAGATCGCCGAGTATAGCGGTAGGATTCGATGCTGGTCTGTGCGCGGCTCGCCTTTAAATTGCTACTCGAACGTACTTTAAACGCGAGTAATTGTACGTGAGCCGGCGACGCGCCGCGGCGAGCCGCGCAATCTGATAAGCGCGTGTTGGCCGGGCGCGCATTAGTCAGGCGCGCGCGGCACATGTTCGACTTCTCGAACATAGCAGTAATATAATTTAGAGCATTATTGTAATATAACTGCAGTGTAACTGTTATTGTACCTTTTACTGTATATTAATTAATTTATAATTTGCCTTTTGTACATACTAATTCCAGAAAAGATCGTTAAATTAATTCTAAGCGAAAACAAACTGTTTTATTTGCTTTTGCTTGAAATTAATTTAAAAACCTTTTCTGGAATTAGTATGTGCAAAAGACATACATGTTTTTGCGTAGGAAAGGGACAAATATAAATATTTAATAATTTTATTAGAAATATTATTGCAAATTCCATTATGTACATCTTACACATACGAAGTAGATTAAATAGATTATTTGTGGTGGAGAAGAAATAATTACGGATAAGTGCGGTAAGCTAAAAGCAATCTCGATCGCTTTTTTATAATCCTCGTGTAGATAGTAAAAATGGTGAACAATTTAAGTGAACAATTTGCTCTCGTTGTTCTGACTGTTAGCGTCGATGTTTGCGTCCTCTGATAGATCATCGTCCGCGCCTGAAGAACGTAACATAGAAAAACATGAAATAATTAAATAAAATAAGATATATTGATCACAAAATCGCCAACATATAAATTTAAGAATTAAGTTAACTCAATAATAAACTCGAGACTTACATGTCTCTTCCTCTTCGTCTTCTTCTTCTTCTCCGGAAGAGGAATCGCTGTTGCTATCTGTGCGCTCGGAGTTTGCCGAGAGGGAACATTGATCGTACGGCTCAGATTTGGAATAAACCTCCGCGCCAGGGAAAATGTACCTGCCAATTGATAGTAGGAATTTTCTGTAAAAACAATCGCAACCCCGTATTAGCACTTGTATTATTTACAAAAATGCCAAAGTATTAATTTGTCGTATGCAAAATAGTAGATTTGTACCTGGTAGTCTAGAAGCGAGGCTCTCCCGAATCTTTGGTTACCAGCAGTGTCTCTCCAATCTTCTATTCTTTAATTCGGCTATATCGAACTTTTCTGTGCTATCGATGCTGTTACAACTGTCGCCTATGCCGGAATCCAATAAGGAGTCTACTGATGCTTGCCTCGGTTTCAGTATCGTGCTATCCGACTCGGCGGCGTCTAGATTTGCGGCGTCGTCGTACTTGTTCGATTTTCCACGTTTATTTAGCGACTTGTGAGACTCCAGAGTGTTTTCGCTTATTATAGCTTCTGAGGAAAGGGACAATATTGTCGGTATCACCAAATTTTATGTGCAATAATGTGCATAACGTGTTCTAACTTTCTAACATATATCACATACCTTCAAGTAGGTTATTTCTCGTACGAGGGCGAATCAAAGCAACGTCCTTGACCGTCTCTCACCGGCGTTGCATCCTTTTACGACCGACGGGCCGTCGGACGCACGAGACACCTGCGAACGTGGTACACGATCTCCCACGGACGGGTGCAATCTTCTAAATGTATATCGTCGCGATCACGTCGCGATCGTGGCACGATGGCACTAGCGGAACTGCGGAAAAAGACCTATATTATAGTATGATATGCACAACGTATTCTAACCTAGCCTCTAACGTGTATATACATACCTTCAAGTAGGTTATTTTTCATACAAGGGCGAATCAAAGCGACGTCCTCGACCGTCTCTCGCCGGCGTCGCATCCTTTCACGAGCGACGGGCCGTCGCGTCGCGCGCATGAGACACCCGCGAACGCGGTTCACGATCTTCCACGGACGGTCGGTCTTCTAATGTATATCGCGATCGTGGCATGATGGCACTAGCGGAAGCGGAAAGAGATCGCGAATTTGCACGCGCCGCTATGGCGCATGCTATCGAGGTTATATAATTCCGGCGGTAATTGAAATTATGTTATACAGCATTAATATAATATCAACGCAACAGTTGTTATATAACACGCAATATTGCAGTTATATTAATGTGTATTTATTATAACATATAAATAACGGGGCAACATCATAGTTTTATAACCTAGTTATATTATAATAATACAATAAGTTACATAACTGTTATGCTACTACAGTCTAACACCTGTTATATTATCTGTTACTCCTACGTTATATACCACTTATATTTGGTGTTTAGTAGTCCTTTGGTTAACAGATCCGCTAGCTGGTTCTCTGTTGGACAATACTTGACAAATACTTTGCCTGACTCAACTACTTTTCGTATATACTTATATTTAATGTCCACGTGCTTCGTTCGTTGATGAAACGCCTGGTTTGCGCTCAACTGGATTGCTGCTTGATTATCCAAGTTTAGTTTGATTGAATCCATTTCCTCTTCTTGAACGCCATAAAGAGTTGTCAGCATTTGTCGCAGCCACTCAACTTCTTGTGCTGCCTGTGATGCAGCCACCAGCTCTGCCTCTGCGGTCGATAGAGTTACTATCTTTTGTCGACGAGATGCCCAAGCCACTGGTACACCATTCATTCTTCTTCTTCGTCTGGTTATTGGCACTAGCGAAAATCACCTTCTCGGCATGCAACGGCCATTATTCAATTCGTTCGTAGGCTCGCAAACTTATAGTAAGACTTCAGGTACACCATTCATGACTGCAATGTACCCAGAGGTAGATCGACGTTTACCTTCGTTTCCTGCAAAATCTGCATCTGAAAAACAAATACACTCTCGTTTTGGCATTATATCATTGAATGAAATTCCTTCGTTAATTGTTTTCTTTAGATATCTTAGAACTCGTTTTGCTGCGTTCCAGTGTCCAGGGTCCAGGATCTTGTAATTATCTGCTTAACATATTCACGGCGAACGCAATGTCAAATCGAGTGACATTTTCTAGGAATTGTAAAGATCCAATCAATTCGCTATATTGAATTCTTGACATAGAAATCCTCTCTGCATCATTCGATGGACTTATTCGTCTTGATAGTTTCACGTTAGGATCAACTAGAATAGAGATGCCCTTTGCTTCTTTTATCTTGAACTTTTCGATCAGTTTTCTGATGTACGTAGCTTGATGGATTTTGATTATCCGTTGTCTATCATCTCGATCAATTTCGATGCCTACGAAGTAACTTGGCTTGCATATCTTGATTTCAAATTCTTCATTCAACTGTTGTAAGAATTTCGGCAAGATCTTTGATGATCTGCAAACCGCAAGACCATCGTCCACGTGCACCGCTAGATACGGTGATCGACACTGTGTCCGATCCGCACTGTGTCCGTTTCCTACTGTGTCCGATCGACACTGTGTCCGATCCGCACTGTGTCCGATCTGCACTGTGTCCGATTGCAACCACCGTGTGTCCGTTTCCTACTGTGTCCGATCGACACTGTGTCCGATCCGCA